AACACTGGGGTTTGCAATCCGTTGCCGGACACGGAAAAAAAAAAAAAAAAAAAAAAAAAAAAGCTACTGTGATGGCTTTGAAGGTGGAGGGAGGGGCTGTGAGCCAAGGAATAAGCGCAGCCTCTAGAAGCTGGAAAAGGCAAAGAAACACATGCTCCCTAGAGCCTCCAAAAGGACACTGCCCAGCCAACACCTTGATTTTAGGACCTCTGACCTCCAGAACTAGAACATGAGAAATGTGTGTTGTTTTAAGCCACTGAATTAGTTTCCTGTGGCTGTTATAACAAATTACTACAAACTGGTGGCTTAAAACAACAGAAATTACTCTTCCACCATTCTGACGCCACAAGCCCAAAATCATGGTGTTGTCAGGGCCATGCTCCCTCTAAAGCCCGTGAGGAAGGATCTGTTCCACGTCTTCCCCTTGGCTTCTGGGGTTGCCAGCAATCCTCGGCATTCCTTGGCTTGTGGAAGCATCACTCCAATCGCTGCCTCTGTCCTCTCATGTCTCCGTGTCTTTTCTCATCTTATGAGGATACCAGTCATACTGGATTAAGGACCCTCTGTATTCCAGTGTGACCTCATCTGTACTATCTGCGTCTGCATCGACCCTTCCAAATAAGGTCACATTCTGAAATTCCAGGAAAGATGTGAACTTGGGGGGGACACTAGCCAACCCAGAACAGCCACTAAGGTTGGAAACTCATACACTCAGGAAGCTTAACCTTGGATGAAAGGCCACTGCCACACCTGATGGCCCAGCCAAGATGGGCAGAAGAGTTGTGACAACTGCCTTGTGATATGTTGGTAATCTGAGTTTTATGGATTTATTCTCTTTTAACAAAAAAGAGAATTTATTCTTACCTGTGACTAGTGAAAACTGATGGGTATTTTAGGAAACAGTGCTATTCTAGAGATGGCTGTGTCTGGGAAGAGGCTAGGGTGCCTATTCCATGTGGTCCTGCCATCCTACAAGAGGGCCTGCACTTTATTTCCCAGCCCTGTGTCTGGCCTGGAGATGACTTCGATTGTTCCTTCCATGGTCCAGAGTCTGGGGCTGCCATTTTCTTTTGTTGCTGTAGCCAGGGGGGCCCAGGAGCACCGCTGGCTGAGGAAGGTACAGTGAGACTCAGGCCTGTGTTCCTCCACCATTGCAGAGAGGTCATTGTCATTTGAAGGCACAGGCCCCCTTTGGCCCTGCATTACCTCTGGGGAAGAGCAGAGTCGGCTTCTCCATCTCCCATGCCCGGGTGTCCTTGTTTCAGAAGCCACATGCTTTGCAGGTGGCAGAGCACTCGCTGCGGTGCTGGTTAGTCACTTAGCTGGGAGTGTTTGGTCTGAACATTAGCAGCACACCAGGCAGCCTGCCACAGGGAGGCCTGGGAAGCACGGGGGGCATGGGAAAGACCACCCCGGCTGCCTGCTGACGCACGGCAGGGAAATGGCCGGCTGTTTGCCAGGTGGGAGGATGGGAGGCAGAAGTCCCCTGGCTCCTGCCACCTGCCCCAGCCTCCATCTTGTCTCCTCCAGCTCTAGAGTCCCTCCTCCTTCAGCCCTTTGCTTTGGTTCCCTGGGTCACTGTCCTCAAGGGTCCTATAATCCATGTCCTCAAAGTACTGAGCCCTCAGCCTGTGGCTCAGGGGCCATTTTCTGAGGGCCAGGCAGGAGAGACTGATGGGGACACTGTGTCTGTGAGCCTGGGGCCGTCTCACTGCTCAGCCAGCCTCCCTCCCACCTCACACTTCAGCAAAATGCCGCTTTCCAGCTCCACCCCCAGCCTGACTCCTGGGGCCTTCTGCAAAGGTGCGTCCTGCTGGGGATCTGCTGGCTCATTCCCAGTCTCCACCACCACGTGGCTGGGGCCAGGCACCGTCCCACAATGTGTCCTGTGTGATGAAGCCTTTCATCCTCTCAGGGCTCCAGTAGACTTCCTGCTTCCATTGTTTCTTAAGAGGAGCAGCATTTTCTAGAAGGCAGTGGAGAGGCATTGAGTTCAGCCTAGCACAGGCTGCTGGTGGTGCTAACAATTCCACCCGATGTGGGCCACCAGGCACCTGAGTCCTCCCCAGGCGTCGGGCTTCCCGGAGTTAGCAGGAGGGCTGCTTTATGATCCCAGCCTGGGGCGTGTGGCTTTGATTGGCCCTAGATTTCAGTTGCTGCTATTGTTGTAATAATATAGTTGCACATTTTCTATTGGATTCTAATCCAACAGATGTCATCGTCTATGGATGGTTTCATGTTTGCTGTGTTGTGATGTTGACATGTTGATCATTTCGACTGTGACAATCAGGTACTCATCGTCCTTGGGTTTATTCCCCGTGGAAAGTGGGAACAGAGAGGGCTTGTGGGGTCATAAAAACTTGAGAACCCCAAAGTCATAGGCTCAAGAACTGCATCTCTAAATGACTTTGTACATAAATTTCCTTTGTACATAAATTTTCCTTTGAAATAAATTTCCTCCCTGTAGAGTTGCCCTGTGAGGGACCAAATGGACCACAGAAGCCAAGGAATCATTTTTTGACCCCTGATGGGTATTTGTCAGCGTATCCTTCAGAAAACATAAGCTAATTTACAGCCATTATTTCTTTTTCTAATGTGAGGAATGACACATCGAAGTGTTTTTACCTGCCTCTCCCGTGTTGAGTTTCACCTGTCTTTCCACTGCGGGTTGCTCCTTGGCGAGCAACCTGACCCGAACTGAGACTCCTGGACTCAGCCTGGCCTGAGTTCAGCATTTGGGAGGCAAAGTCCCCTTCATTGTCTGGCTCTGCTCCTGCCCAAGCTTGAGGTGGGGTTCACACCACTGTGTTCAGTGTATGTCTGAGCAGCCTCAGCCTTGCTGTTGAACGTCGGAGCAACACCACCACCTGCTTGCAGGGTAGCAGGCATGTGGGGACTGCATGGGAGCATGGCCATAACTGGTCATTCACGGCCTCGGAGCTGAGTGGGCGTCACAATCATCAAGGCTGAGCCAGGTTCAGTGGTCTTCCTGCCCACACCTACCCCTCCTTGTCTTCTCCATCCCCTGGCTTCTTGAAGCCACCCTGTCCCCATCCACACCAGGCCTCTGGTCTCTTTCTCCCAGTCTGCCCATCATGCCACCTGCCACCAATCTCACCTTTCCCAGGGACCACTGCTCAGATGCCACACACTCCCTTTTGCCGAGGGCTGAAGGGCCAGGCTCCTTAGCCTATGCCAGAGGCCCCTCGCCATCTCCCGTCTCAGACCTGTGCCCCCATGCCCCACCTGCCTCCCACTTCCTCCTCCAGGCCTTGCCTTCCTTTGTGTGACATGCCAACCCAGTGCATGCCACCAGGAACTGAGGGCCTAGCTGGGACTCCTTTGTGATGCACCCAAATCATTCATTCATTTACTCACTCACTCCCTGTCTCTTGCCCCACCCTTCCTCATTCTCCTGATCTCTTTGTCCCTCAGGGAGGGACTCTCCCCACCCATCTCCCCAGAATGGATCATGATGATCAGTCACCGCTGACGCAGATGGCTTCCCATCCTGTCCCCCACAGTACAGCCAGTGACTTGGACCAGAACAAGCACATCCCCATGTCCCTGGGGACCTGAATTTGGCCCTTAAGAGCTGCTTACTAAGATGTACTGTTTAATAACAAGCTAAATGCAATGTGGTCACCCACCTCAACCCACTGCACAGGAGGATGCTCGGAGTTAGGTGGGCTGTGCCTCTCACCCACTCTTGCTTAGAGAATGGAAGGTCACATTCAGGCTGACTTGCAGCCAGCGTGCCCCCTTGAGGTCCCCCAAATGTAGAGCTAGTGGTTATTCTGCTTGGCTGGTGGCCGGCCGTTCTAGTTGATAGACATTGAACCTGGGATGGTGACATGTGCCTCAATGACAACAGGCTGTAAGAGCCCAGGCTCTGAAGCCAGACAGACTTGGTGCTCAGGATCCCCTCACCTTGTGGCCCTAGGCAATTTCTGTGCACCTTTCTGCCCCCCGACTTACCTCACTGGGTTGTCACATGCATTAACTGAGGCAGCACCTCGCCCAGGGCCTGGCACCCAGAAAGGCATGGTACGCATCAGCCATTGGTGCCTTTCTAAAGCCATCCAGAGAGAGGCAAAGCCTTATGGGCAGACAGACCTGGATTCAGATCCCAGCTCCACCCTAAGCTGGTGGCTTGGCCTCTCAGATCCTGCATTTTCTTGCCTGCTGAAAGGAAGAATCGCCCCTGTCTACTAACTGCCACTGCAAGCCTCAGAGCCACAGTTGACAAAGCAAATGGCCCATAACCCGGCCCACCACGTGTGGTCTCCAGACACCGGGTCATTTCGGGGCTGCAGTTGGGCTGGTGGGAAGTAGGGCAGTGGGGCTCCCTGCCTCTAGCCTGGATGCTGGCCCAAGGCCATTGTGGCCAGCAGGGACAAGGTGTGCAATGGACGCCCCACAGCTGGCTGGCCTGCCCCTGACCTGGACTCAGGAGACTCAGAATAGTGACTCACCGGGTCCGCCCTGCACACCTTGTCCACCATGGGAAGAAATCCATTCTCTTGCAATATGTGTTCTTTTTTTAAAAAAATTTTATATCTCAGGTCACAGATTTTCTTCATCTAAAAAAAGGTTTTTGTTGATTATTTCTGAAACAAAGCATTTCAGAAACCCCTTGGCAGTTACAGGCTCTGAGACTATAGGTCGGTGTCAGCCTCTTGGTTGTCCTGCCCCTTGGGCACAGGCTGGAAGGAAGGGGAGTGCATAGGGCACCTGGACAGCAACGTGAAAGGTGTGGGAGGGAGGAGGAGGAGAGAGAGTCCCGCCTTCTGCTCTCACGGAGGCCCCAGCAGCCTGGCATGAGGAGAGTGGCTAGCTGGGAGGCCTGGGCATGACTTCAGCTCTCAGAGCCTCAGTTGTCTCATCTGTCCCTCAGCGATGGTATAGTCACTACCCTGAGCCAGCATCTGCATACAGAAGCTTTGGAAATGTGAGAGTGTCCATGGTCCTGCAGGGAAATGGGTGCAGACCCCTAGGCGGATGGGCTAGGGGAGGGGGTGATCCTTGACTGTGGCCTGGGGGTCTTCAGGCAGACTTTGGAGAAAGGGTGGCATTGGGCCAAGCCTCAGAAGGTGGGTGGGGTGGGGTGGACCTCTGAGGAGGTGGGGGGAGGCATGGGGAGGTTCCAGGCAGTGGAGAATCAGTGGGGAAGGCCCCACGCAGGAGCACGCAGCGTTTGCAGGGAATAAAGGACAGTTTGGTGTGGCTGGAGGATGGGCATGGAGCAGAGAGCAAGGTGAGGTTAGCTGGGAAGGTGTTGGTCAACTTGGGGTGGGCCTATGATGTTGGGAAAGGAGACCAGGCTCCATTCTAGGGGTCTCTGTGCCCACCCAGCACGGCCCACCCTTGCCTGCATGCTGTAGCTTAGGCACACAGGTGGGTGGATGCCTGCAGGCCTGTCCCCTTCAAAGCCAGTTCAGGCCCTGCCATTCAAGCTGGTTCCCCCTAATGTCCCCTCCCACTGACTCAGGTAGGCATGTGCCCACCCCACCCTGAGAAGGCTGGGCCAGGCTGGGCAGGCACCTCACCCTGGCCAGGAACAGGAACGGGCATCACGTAGGGAACTGATCTTTTTTGAGTGACGCTACCTACTCTGCTCTCCTTGACCCAGGCCATGCAGGCCTCTCAGTGCCCTGTCGATTAATAGCAACTCTATTTCCCTCCACAGATGACTCTGGGGACGACGACGAGGAGACTGCCTCCCCAGCTGACAAGGGCGAGATCCACCACACCCTTAAGAACCTCTCCTTGAAGTTGGACGACCTGAGCACATGCAATGACCTCATCGCCAAGCATGGCGCTGCGCTGCAGCGCTCCCTGAACGAACTGGACGGCCTCAAAATCCCCTCCGAGAGCGGCGAGAAGCTGCAGGTGGTGAACGAGCGGGCCACCCTCTTCCGCATCACATCAAATGCTATGATCAACGTGAGTACCCACTCTCGCTGCTGTCCTGGGCTCCCATCCCCAGCACCGTGGTCCCTGAGTGGGTGGCCAGGGGCTCTGGACAGACCAGGGCTCCCTTTCCTGTGGCTGCAAGTCATTTTTCAAGCCCAGCACCCTCCTGTGCTCTGAGGCATTCTCTATGTCATCTCCTCCACGCAGCCATTGTTGGGTGAGGATGCTTTTTAATGGTCTGGTGGGAACTGGAGTTGGGTGTGGAATCTGGCTGAGGCTGGCAGTGGCTTGTGCCCAGGGGAGGAAGGCCGGGGCCACAAGCTGAACAGCCAACCTGGTGGCCCAGTTCTGCCCACACAGTAGGGACACAGCTGCCACGCAGGCCATCAGTGGCTGCTGCTGCTCCTTCCCTGGGCACACCCTGCAGATTGCAGCAGGATAGTGGCCCACCGGGGGAGGGGCATGAATGTGTAGAGAGGGGCTGGGCTTGAGGGTTTCCTTAGCCAGAGGAGCTTTAGAGCTGAGTCTGCTGAGGTTCACGCTACCCTGGGAGTAGACAGAGGGAGTAAGCCCGTCTGTAAACCAAGAGGCACAGCCGTGGGAGTCGGCCACTCTCCCTGGGTTCTGGATGCCATGTTGCTCTGACTGGGAGCAAGGATAGTCTCTCCATGGTGGCAGGAGTATAGTGTTTGACCATGCTTCTGGGCCCTCCATCTTTCTGCCTGGTGAGTGTTCCCCAGAAATGTGTGTGTTCCTCCAGACCTCCACTCCCAGACACGGTCCTCCCAAAGACAGCCCCATGGACGGGCACATTTAAGCCAGGGGTGCCATTGGAAGGAGCTTGGGGTGGCCTGCTGGGAACAAGGGTTCAGAGCAGAGATGGGCAGAAATGGGGCTGTGACAGAGGAAGAAGTCCAGGTCCAGAGAATGAGGCTCAGAAGGACCATCAAACCGGCTGGAGACAGTGGGCAATACTGGTGCCCAGGTGAGCCCCAGCTGGGGGCCCGGCCTCCAAGCTAGAGGGTCAGAGCAGAGCCAGGCTGGGAGTCAGGACCAGGCTCCAGGCCCAACAGGAAACCCAAGGCCAAGGTTGGAAGATGGAGGCCAGAGCCCACCGCAGGCCCAGAACCCCAGGCTAGACCCTGGGCATCCTTGCCCCAAGCCTGCTTTAGTAGCCTGTTGGCAGCATGATTGTGGGGCAGGAAGGCCAACCCCCACCCACACCTGTCCAGACATGCTCAGGCCTGGAGCACTCCAGGGTCAGACAGCCTTAGGAATCCCCTCCCTGGGGCTTTCATCTCAGACTGCCAGCGCTCACTTGCCTGAGCTGGGCAGGTGTGCGCACCTTTGTCCGTCCCAGATGCCACAGTGCTCAGGGTGCAGCTGGCACCTGCGTGCGTGCAAAGACGCCGAGAGGCTGCTGGGCTGCAGCCACCCTGCGTGCCAGCCTCTTTGTCACCTGCACTCTCGTTTTCCTACATCCACAGACTGTAGGGGCACAGGTCCTTGTACTTCTACCAGTGACATATGCAAATCTCAAGCATTTAATGACATAATGATGCGTTCATGTTTCCCCATTCATCCCAGAAGCCACCATCTGCCTGTGGCTGCTGTGGCATTCTTCCCACCCAAGACACAAGCACTTTTATCTTGAGTAAGCAGTTTTGGCTTTTCCAAGATGACAAGCTTCTCAGCTGGCTGTAGTCTGGTGGAGTCTTTTATCAGGCATCAGAGACTCATCTGTGTTTACAAAGCCATAAAAATAGCTCGTCATCTAAGTGCCTAATGAATCGTTTTATGGGAAGTGCAGCCCCTGGGGTTCGTTACGATGCTTGTTTCTAGTTCCAGTACCACGAGAACATGTGACAGAGTCAGGCCTGAGTGACAGGAGCTGCACCCTGGCCAGGCTCTGCTGGACCTGCTCTGTGAACCTGACGTGCAGGCCTCTCCCCCAGCTCCTGGCTGTTTAACCGGGAAGGGAGGTCAGACAGGGAGGGCAGGAGTGAGGCGCTTGGGCTAGCAAGAGGCCCACGTTCCTCCTGGGGTTCTTTCCTGATGGCTGTTTCTCACCTGGCAGGAGCCAGGGTAGTTCTCGGAGGGCTGTTTGTATGACTGTCAGCACCAGGTGTCCAAACCTTCACTGTGTACAGAGGGTCCATGTAGGTAAAACCGGCCACATGCCTGAGGGTCATGGGACACATGTGTCCCAGTCCCTGGCCAGGCTTCAGCTTCCATACCTGTTACAAGGGGGGTATTGGACCAGGATCTAGATCTAAGGCAATCGTGCAGCTTCACCCCAAGCCTCTGGGGAACCAATTCATGCACCACCGAACCATTTACCCCTCCCAACAACCTCCTTCATGCCATTAGGTATTGTTAGTGCCAGAGTAGGAACTGAGGCTCAGAGAAGTCACCTGAACTGCCCAGTGTCACTCAGCTGGCAAGTGGCCAATCTGGGATGCAAACCCAGGTCTTTGTGGTCCGTTGGGAAAGTGATAGCCCCCATCTTCTCCAAGGAGGTGAGGGTGAGACCCCTGAGGGCTGCTAAGGTACACTTCATCCACTGCTGAACTCCAAGGTCAGGACACAGAGGGGGTGGCCTCACATCCACTCAGGGAGGTATCCCAATCTCAGGGACTTCTCTAAGTCTCTTTTATGTCTTTTACCTTTAAGCTGTGATGTGGCCTCTGGCTGCTGTGACTGTAGTCCCTCTAGGGCCCCTCCTGGAAAGCTGAGGACTCAGGGACAGAAGCCACCTCCAGCTGTCCCCAGAAGGCACAAATCATCATCCCCCAGTCCCTCCAGATCTTGCTGTGAGAGAAAGCTGTTTCTCCCTGCTGTGGGGATCCCATTGCAACACCACTGCCTGCTCCCCACCCCCTGCCCTGACTGCGGTAGAAGTGGAGAAGCTTCCAGCAGCACCCACGTGTGAGTCTGGGGATGCTCTATTCCCACTGGCCCCTTGGACAGCGCAGACCCTTGTCCTGGATGCTGTATTTGAGCACCCGGTGAATGATGTGTGTTTTCCACCTTGTAGGCTCTGACTGAACCTGGGCCATGGAAGTGGAACAGAAAATGAGGGACAGCTGGCCAGACAAGCCCCGCAGGGAAACAACCCTTCAGAGGGCCCCGGGAGGGCCGCACTCTTCTTGCAGGACAGGCACCGGCAGCATCATCTCCACTTTCCCCAAGACAGCAAAGAATCTGGGATTGTTCAGCCTTCAGGAGAAAAGACAGGGGTCAATTCTTAAACCTCCTTCAAGTTTAGGAAAGGACACCAATGTCATAAGCTGTTAGGTCCCAAGCTCCCAGCAGGGCAGGGAGGGAGCATCCTCTGGAGAATTCCCAAGAGCCCAGGAGCCGTGGCTCGGGGAGCATGGCTCGGGTGCAGGCTGCTCCCCCAGGGCGGGCAGCCATCCCCACCTCCCGTCAAGTGTGGCCTCTTCCGGAGGTGTTGGAGGGAACAGATGCTCGGAGGAGGTTTCTGGATCGGGAATACTGAGCAACAGCTCAGTGTCTCACCCCCCGTGCCTTTGCCAGTGCTGTACCTTCTAGAACGCCCTTTCCTTGCCCTTCAGATTGCTGGCAGATCCTTTTTTGGGCAGTTGTTCATCTTGGCTCAAACCCCTGGCTCCCAGGGGCACCACTGCATGGGGTTTAGTCAGTTTCTAGTGTCTTACTGTCCCCAACACTAGCCCAGTGAGAGTACACAGTGAATGATGTGTCAAAGTGGGTCTCATATCTCAAGAAAAAAATGCTCCAGGTAGCCCACATCCCACATTTACCATTTACAAAGCCATCTAGTCCCATGTCCTCACCTGACAGTGAGAAAGCAGAGGCTTGGCCCCCAGCCCCTGGCTTGTAGAGTCGCTGTCACCCCACCGTGCCCTGCACCACCCCATGCTCCCCTTCCAGAGAGGTGACCCAGCCTGGAACAGCGCTTTAGGAAATTAAACTGTGATCGCATTTTCCACCCAGGTACAAAGCTGAGCCACACTGACCCACGGCCTCCTTCCCTCTTCTTGTGGCAGTTTGGCTGGCAGGGCTCTTTCTAGGGGGACTTGGAGAGTAGCACCTGGTGGGCCTTAGAAGGGGCACTTTGGAGGCAGCATCTGAGCAGGTCAGTGGCCCTGTAGTGAACTCAGGGCCACCCTCTCTTGTCACACAGTTAGGAAAGTCCTGCATGATGGGCATTTAAGCCAGACATTAGCAGCTGCTTCCTGAGCCCTGCTCAGGTCTGTGCCAGGCGGAGACTTGGCAGGAAACAGGCAGTCCAGCTGACTCTCACAGTGACAAGCCGTCACACGTGTGTTTATTGGTGTGAACTTCTCTAGGAATAACTACCCAGGGCCACCAGCTCACATGCCATTTTTAGGTTTTGTTTTTTGTTTTGTTTTGTTTTTAATTGAAACATAATTGATTGGACATACCTGTGGGATACAGAGTTAAGTATCAACACCTGTGTGCATTATGCGATTCTCAAATCAGGATAGTTAGTATATAACAATGCAATCGTTTTTCATGTCTCTTTATCAATTCCTCCTTTACCCCCCTCTTCCCATGCCCACTTTTGAAGGCCAAGTTTGGGAAGGGCCTGGGGGTTGGGAAGGTTCATGATTGGCCAGGGAGGCAGGATCAGGCCCAGCTGACCACAGGCCAGCAGGAGAGTGACTCTCAGATGCCAGTCATGTGCACCATGTACCCTGGGAGCCAGGACAAACCACGGCTGGGCCTGCAAAGGGCAGAGGTTGTGGCAACAGAGTAGGGCCTGGAAGGGGAAGCAGGGTTTCTCCCAGGCAGAGAGGGAAAACATTAATAGTGGCCACTTCTGTGTTGTCACTGTGCACAAGTCTTTACACATGTGTCCAGATGGGCACCTGTACCAATTTGGCTCCAAAGCCCATCCATAGTCGTCCCACTTGCCCACCCAGTTCCCCTTCCTGGGCAGGTGGGCAGAAGTCCCCTTCTGTGGACTTCTCCAGTCATGGTGGGCCCATGGGCAGGACCTGGTCATCAGGTGAAGCTCACTG